CCACTGCCTACCTACAGCCCGCCCTCCCACTCCCGTCACGCACCTCACGCTCTTGGCGATTTCGGCGAGCAGAGCCAGGGAAAGCGCGCTGTCGGTGTCTCCACGCGAGCGCATGGAGGCGGCGGACGAGGACTCCACGCCGTGCACCAGTGTGTACGCGCCCGCCGCCACGCCCGCCGCGGTCGTCTTCTCGCGCGTCACCTCGCGCACCTTGCGCGGCAGGTTCACCTGCAGCGGCGGCAGGTGCAGCGCCGGCCCACCACGCACGGGCTCTAAGAGGAGGTCCACCAAGTCCTTGTACCTGCGAGGTTGGGAGGGAAGGGAAGTGGGTGAAGGGGTTTGAGTTGGTTCACCTCGCGCACGGGCTCTAAGAGGAGGTCCACCAAGTCCTTGTACCTGCGAGGTTGGAGGCGGAGAGAGGTGGGGGGTGATGGGGATGAAGAGGTTCTTTCGGATAGAGTGCCTGGCAGGGAGAGTGCTGCCCCCCTCCCCACCGGCTTCCAGAGGAGGTCCACCAGGTCCCAGTACCCGGGGGGGGGGAGGGGGGCTGAATTGGGGGAGCGGAGTTGGGGGGTTGGTGGTGGTGGGAAGGGGAGGGAGGGCGTCTGGCAAGAGCATTGTTGCACCGTGCGTTGTAGGATAATGCGTTGCGACAGCATGGCTGCAACAGCGTGCCATGTAACACCGGCGTTGTGACATTGTATGTCGTAACAAAGGGGAGCGCTGTACTACGGTGCCTTTCCCTCATCGCCACTCACACTCGACACTGCCTGCATCTAACATCAATTCGTTCCCATCCCGAACGACCTCCTCCTTTTGTGCCTCATTCCCGTCGCATGTACCAACCCACTCTCGCACGCGCACCTACGCCCTTGCAGCGCTCTGATTTGAAGGCGCATCAAGGCATTCTCACTCTGCACATCCTCCTTTCCCGTGCACACTGCAGTTCACGGAGTATCCTAAAATGCCTCCGCTACCGTTGCTCGCTACCATCGCCTGGGTACCGACACCTCCCAAACCCAAATTGGCAAAACATCGCACGCGAAATGCCCATGCGGCATCTCAAGGCGCCTAAGAAACTGTCACCTTCGCACCAACACCCATCCAATCCAGCCAGCACGCCGTCGCACTCCCATCCCCATGCCGCACACCCTTAGGCACACCACTGCATTCACACGCTGCCAGCCAGCTCTTGTCGCCAGCGCACTCACATGTGGCAGCCGTCCTCCGCGAGGTTCTCCTTCTCCGTGCGCACAGCGGTCGAGAGGAACACGCCCGCGCCCGCGCCGCTGGCGTTGGGGTTGACGTACGACACGCGCTGGCGCGCGTCGGACAGGAACAGGAACATCGCGTGGCCCAGCCCCGCCAGTCTTGTCGACAGCACCAGGTCGTACGCCTCGTTCTGAAAAAGAGGTAAGCGAAAAATGGGGAAGGGGGAATGGGAAGGAGTCGGCGGGTGATGGGTAAGTGAAACGCGAAGGCGAGAGAAGAGGAACATAGCGTGGTCCGGGACATCCTGTCTCGTCGACAGAACTAGCTTGTACGCCTCTTTCTGTAAGGACAGACCAAACGGGGAGGAAAGGCGGGGAGAAGGGAGGCGCGTGAGTCCAGAGTGCGATGGCGGGCGAAGGAGAAGAAGCGGAACATGCCATGGCCCGGCGCGACCAGTCTGGTGGAGTCAACCAAGTCTGTCTCGTGAAGTCCAAAGCAGGAAGCGCGAGGGGAAACGGAAGTGCAGGAGAGGATGGGGGATCCGGGAAATGGGGGAGAGGGAGAGGACAAGGAGAGGACGAGGAGGGACAATGCAGCCGCGTCCGGCTGGAAGTCGGCCGGAGGCGAAGTCCGCATGTGCGAGGAGGGTGGGTGGGAAGGGTATGCGGAGGGAATCGGAGGGGTGGAGGACGGAGAGTATGGGGATGGAAACTGGAACGGGAAGGGGTCAATGCAGCCACGACCGTCAACTCCCAGCAAGGCCAGTGCTGACAGGGCGAGGAGAACGCACGGCCTAAGCAGCAACAGCAGCAAATAACCAAGGCCTGCATGGGAACCCCTGATGGCAGTAAATCCAATGCAGCAAACACCCGAAGACGACGCGCTACTGAAGCATATGCATAACGCTCAATAACTTCGTTCCAAAGAATGTCTCTATGAAACAGAGCTCTTGAAAGGGCGTTCTCACCTTGAGCTTGCCGAGGAACTCGGTGTATTCGGCGGGAGTCACGAACGGATCTTCAGGGTCGTACACCCACGCGCGCCGTACGTTCTTGTTGATCTCGTAAGTCTGCTTGCCACGTGGCGGAGCCGCCACGTCGATCTTCACGCCAGGGTACTTCTCCTTCAGCAGCGAAATCACCGGGAAAAACAGAAGATTCTCATACACGCCGCCGGCGACAAGAATCGCACAGCTTCGCACATCGTCGCGAATGTACAACCCGAGCGACGCAATCTCCGGGTTGTGGCCAGACGGGAACTTGAGCCAGCCTTCGTTGGAGGTGGTATCGGTGGGGGGACGAGGGTCGACCGCGTCTTGCTTGCCTGACGACAGCAGATCGCCATACTCGAGGTCTGGATCCTCACCGTAATCGAACGGATCGTCGAACATTCTCTTGCGAGAGTGAGCGACGACGGAGCGACGCGCGGACGACTTCGCTCTGCTGCTCTTGCTGGTTAGGCTAGCCCTCGCAGTCACGGGACCGGTCTGTACCCTGCATGAGATTTTAACCGTTCCTTCGCAACCCGCCTGAATAGGAGCGGCTGGACTGGACGAGGAGAGGACGGGGGACCCGAGCAGCTCTGATTGCAAGGGTCCATGGCTCCCCTGCTTAGCCACCGCATTCCCCGCGAGGGAAAGGTTGGCCAACGGACGCGTCAACGCAGCCATTTCTACGAGCAGCTAGAATGTAGCTTTTACTCGGCCGGTGCTGCCGTTGATTTGATCCAAGCAAGGGTCAGCGCTGGCTGGAACAGCAGCAGCCCTGACAGGGCAATCAAGCCTAAAATTTGTGACTTGGTCTACAACAAAGAAAAAGGTTGCTGCAATCCTGCTAGGGGAAAGGAAAGGAGATCCCTGTGGTTCCTAGCTGGTCAGAAGAATGGATGGATAGATTGTCTTGCTTCTGCTGCTCAAATCTGGCTGGGCAGAAAACCCTAGAGATTATCTCGAAATCGGGCAGAAGTCTTGAGACTGGTTTCCGTTCGCGAAGGCTGTCCAGCCGTTAGCGAAGCTATATCTGCCGTTTGACGACAATTCGGCTGGCTTTTGGGACGATCGGGCATCTTGGCGAAACGGCAGAGGTCGCTGAAGTGCTGACATGGGTAGCTTGACGTCAGACTCAGCTGTGGTTCTTGAAAGATCGCACGGGATAGGCCCTCCAACTGGTGGGAGCTGGGAAGTGGGAGCGGGTGATGGATAGGGAGTCTGATTTGGCGAAGGGTTGAGAGAGGGAAACCAGCTAATCTGGTGAATTTCGCGTGGAATGAATGTGGGCGAAATTGCAGCCCGAGCTGTGGATGAATCCACGTGGCAAACCCATCTCTAGGATTTGTGGCTTTGACGGCCTCGCCTTCAGGTACACCCTGGCTGATGATGCATACTCGATATGGAGAAGATTGAAGGGGAATTTACGCGACATCAAACTGCATGTCATACTCGCGTTTGACAACTACGCTGTAGCATGACCAATTAATAATAGACCATGGATTATCCAACCACACAACCATTTATGTTTTGCAGCACGATACTATATTCCATTCCAGAAAACATTCAGAGTTTTACAGCCCCCTTGAATATGCACTCGCATGACACACATAAATATTAGGATGGCCGCCATGCCAACCACACCCTAAGCTGAAAATGACCCCTTCTATTCTCCCTAATACCTAACAGGCTTGGCAAGCAAACATACCGTACACCTCTTACTAAATGCACATAAATCATCAATGCACTCTCACCTAGCGAAATGCTCACTCCCATTTCTCTGCAACCCACTTTTGAGCCTATTAACTCTTCACTCACCAGCTTCTAGCATTCAAACACCAACACCTAAAACCTACCCAGGAATACACACCTAGCTCCTGAGCCCAGCTCCCCCTCACCCCAGCCGCTTCAACCTGACATACATACCAACAGCCCATTGATGCCGAAACGGGCTCCTATTTCCAGCTCTCCCTTGTGTCACTCACCCATGTGTTCCTTCCTGCTACCACCCAGCCATGTCTTCCCCAGCCACCGCTCCCGCAAAATCCTTCTCCCAGAACAAGGGACGATTGATCCCCAGGTACTAAGTTGCATAAAAAAGCCCCTAAGACCTGAACAGGAGAGTGCTTCCAGCCAGCACTCAGATCACACAATGGACAACCCCCACATTGTACCAGCAACGGACACTGTCAGGAACTGTGCACGGCTATGGGCTGGCCATTGATGGATGGACCTCTGCGACGCACTCACATCACCAAGTCACCGCTGTTACGGCATCCCTACAGTACAGTGTTTAGGCACACTTCTGCTGTTGCATTCAGTACTTCCCTGTTACACTGCTTCATTACACTGCTACAGTCTTGGATCATGGAGCGCACACATCAAGCGCCCCCTCCCCGCCTTCCTCCCAGCCTTTCTCCCCCACCTCCCCTCCTCCTCCCCCTCTCCACCCCCCTAGTGCATGTCTTGGATCATTAAGCATTGCGCTGCCGCCAGTCTTGGATCATGAAGCGCATTGCATACTTGTATCTCCACCCTGCCCACTTCCCTCATCCGGCCCCACTGCACCTCTAGCACACTCCTAAACCGTTCCCCCCACCCTCCTCAGCCCCACCACCTGCAGCATAGTTCTTAGCCATTGCGCTGGCACCAGTCTTGGATAATGAAGCGCACTGCATTCCCCTGTCCCCCATCTCCCCTCCACCTCCTCCCCCCTCTCCACCTCCCTCCACCTCCTCCCCCCTCTCCACCTCCCTCCACCACCTCCCCCCTCTCCACCTCTAGTGCACCTGCAGCACGGCCCTTACCCATTGCGCTGGCGCCAGTCTTGGATCATGGAGCGCACGGCATGGTTCGGCACGAGGTCCTTGCTGGGCAGCTTCTGATTGGTCATCGGTGACATGTCGCTCGTCTCCAGCCACGATTTGATTGCCTCCTGCTCGTACGTGTGCCCGTCTGCTGCCAGCACAGGGTTCACCATCATCTCCTGTGGGGGGGGGCAGTGCAGCGATTGCATGGGAAGAAAGATACAGAATTTAAGCGTGTAACAAACTAAATTATATCATTTATTGTCATTGCGTGAGAAAGAGAAAGAGGAGAAATACGAAGAGAGAGCTCATCACACACCTTCACATACCTCATGCACTCTCATCAAACTGAATATGTGGGCACAGAAACGAGTTCTCCCTACCCACCCATCTACCCCGCCCACCCACCCACCCACCTGAGTGATGGGGCAGAAGAGCACGCTCGGAGCCTCCCCCATCGGCCGGCGGCTCGGGGCCTTCCGAGCCTCCTCCTCAGCCTTGGCAGCGCGCGCCCTGGCTCGGTCCAGCACCGGCATGACCTGCTTCTCTAGGTCCGGGCGCTTCTTCCTCCTCATCTCCGAACACTTCACCGCAATCCGCGCCACCTCCATCACCATATCTAGCGGCCAGTCACCCGCTCTTTCATCTAAAAACTCTTTCAATTCGTTCTCGTCCCCGTCGTCTACAGCCTCTTCTAGCCCTTCATACACGTTGGGTTTCCGGCCCGTGAGCAAGTCCAGCAGCACGATCCCCAGTGCGTAGACATCGGATTTCGGCCCAAATTCACCCGTTCGCTGAAACTCCGGGTCGACATACGCAAAGGTACCCACAGGAACAGACTCCCGCATGTAGGTCTGATCCATGGATAAACCCGGCATGAGCTTCGCCAGCCCGACGTCCCCTAGCTTCGCCACGAAGTTCTTATCTAAGAGGATGTTTCCGGGCTTTAAGTCCCGGTGGACGATGGGCACAGGGCGCGTGTGGAGGATGAGGAGAGCGGAGGCGATTTCGGCAGCGACACGCATGCGGATGTACCAAGGGAGGGGGGGCGTGTTGTTGGCGCAGAGGAGGCGGTCCTCTAGAGAGCCGTTGGCCATGAACTCGTAGACGAGGCAGTACTTGCTGGGGCAGCAGCCAAGGAGCATGACAACATGAGGATGCTGAATCTGACTCAGCACCTCCACCTGTGTGTGGTGGGGGGAGGGGCAGAGGAGGGAGAGGGATGAGGGGGCAAGCGGTTGCCAAGGAGCATGACAACATGAGGATGCTGAATCTGACTCAGCACCTCCACCTGTGTGTGGTGGGGGGAGGGGCAGAGGAGGGAGAGGGATGAGGGGGCAAGCGGTTGGGAGCAAGCGGCAGGGCAGGGGTGGGCGGACAGATGGAACGCAGAGAAAATGTGTGGACTACATGGGAGTCCCGAATCTGGTCAATGGAATTGATGGGGGGGAGCGAGTGGAGGGGGGCGTGGGATGCCATGCGCAGCCCATATTGCGTCTGCTCCTTAGCAAAGGATGGACACCATATGCTTGCGAGGGACTCACCTCCTGCTGGAACTCGTTGGTGGCCTGCATGGCATCCGCGTTCTTGAGCACCTTGACATCCACGGGTGTGTGGTGCAGCGTGCCTGAGAACACCGTGCATGCCACCCCTAACCCCCCCCCCCCCCAAACTCCCCCCTTAATATGCCACGGACATGCCAGGGACCCACGCACCTCCTGCTGGAACTCATTGGCAGCCTGCATGGCGTCCGCGTTCTTGAGCACCTTCACCGCCACGGGGGTGTGGTGCAGCGTGCCTGAGAACACCGTGCATGCCACCCCTAACCCCCCCCCCCCCCCAAACTCCCCCCTTAATATGCCACGGACATGCCAGGGACCCACGCACCTCCTGCTGGAACTCATTGGCAGCCTGCATGGCGTCCGCGTTCTTGAGCACCTTCACCGCCACGGGGGTGTGGTGCAGCGTGCCTGAGAACACCGTGCCAAACCCGCCCTCGCCCAGCTTGCGCTCCGGCTTGAAGTTCTCCGTTGCAAACTGGGGGATGTTGAATGGGGGGATGCGGGTGGAGAGGGAGGGCTTTAGAGCATGATTTGTGCCCTGAGTGGGACTCATCGCGCCCAGCTCGCGCTCTGGCTTGAAGTTATCCGTTGCAAACTGGGAGAGGGCGGAGTTTGAGGGTGGAGGGTGGGGGAGAGGGGGAATTGGAAGGGAGAGAAGGGGGAAAGGGGGGAAAGGGGACTTTCAGCATGTTTTTGTGCCCGGAGGGGGTCACCGTGCTAAACCCACCCTCGCCCAGCTTGCGCTCCAGCTTGAAGTTCTCTGTTGCAAACTGGGGGGGATTGGGGCAGGGTGGGGCAGGGTAATCCCTGCAACACACCACATCACAGCACACCACACCACAGCACACCACAGCACACCACACCACAGCACACCACAGCACACCACAGCACACCACACCACAGCGCACCACAGCACACCACAGCACACCACACCACAGCACATCACACCACAGCACACCACACCACAGCACACCACAGCACAGCACAGCACACCACAGCACAGCACCCCACAGCACACCACAGCGCACTCGTGCCAGGCACAACCACCCCAACCACCACACCCACACCCCACCCACCACAATGTCCTCGTAGCTGTAGTCCCTGTAATTCACTGCCATGCATCGCTATACACCACACCATACCACACTTCACCCAGCCTCACCCACCACAATGTCCTCATAGCTGTAAAGTAATTCGCCGCTATGCGCCTGCTGGCCCCCTAACGTGACAGTCCACTTGACACAACCACCACACCCACACCCCACCCACCACAATGTCCTCGTAGCTGTAGTCCCTGTAATTCGCCGCCATGCGCTGACTCCCCCTCTCCCCCTTCGCCTTCAGCTCCACCGCCGCCCGCTTCTGCGACTCCATCTCCAGTGCCGCCCGGGTCATCGCCGCCTGCTTCATCGCCACTTCCGTCTTTTGCGCCTCCAATCCAGCTTGCTTCCTCGCCTCCTCCGCTGCAGCAATCGCCCGGGAGGCCTCCTGGGACGCCATTTCGATGCGCACAGCGGTTTCCAGCTCCCGGCGCTTGTTCTGAGCCTCCACCTCGCGGAGGGAGCGGTCTGCCTCGGAAAGGGCGCGCTGGGCGCGCTGCTCCGCCTCCAGGCGCGCTTGCTCCGCCTCTGCTGCTCTCTGCCGCATCAGCTCCAGCTCCCTCCGCAGGTCAATCTGGGGGGGGTTAGTGTGCGGGACGTGGGGCACGGTGGGGGGAGCGGAGGGGAGAAGGGAGGGGCAAGAAGAGGGGGAGAGAGAAGAACGAGAATCGGGAAAACAGGGAATGGGGGGGAGGGGCAAGGGAGAGAGAGGAGGGTTAAAGGATTGGCGCTTGTTCTGAGCCTCGACTTCGCCGCATCAGCTCCAGCTCCCTCCGCAGGTCGATCTGGTGGAGGTGCGATTGTGTGGGTGGGGACGGGGTAGGGGGGCGGAGGGGAGAGGGGAGGGCGGGAAGAGGGGGAGGGTGGGAAGAACGAGAAGCAGGGAAACGGTGGGGTTAGTGCGTGGTCACGCGGGCGGGGTGGGGGGACGATGGGAGGAGAAAAGGCACGAGGGTAAGTGAGAGAGGAGGCACGAGGGTAAGTGAGAAGGTAGGGGAGTGGGGAGGGGAGACGGGAAGTGGATGGAGGGTAAGTAGAACGAGAGCAGGGATGGGCGCAGGGACGAGTGCAGGGTTGGATGCAGGGATGGATGCAAGGAGCATCAGCCACTTCTTACCGCTTATCACCACTCCCAGCATCACCAATCCCAGCACCACCATTCCCCGCTTCATCATTCCGCATCACCTTTTCCCCAGTCACCATTCCCCCATCCCCATTTCCCGCGGGCTGGAAGCGCTTCTGACCTCATTGGCGCTCTGCCCGCCACTGCCGCCAGTCGCAGGCCCGTCCGGGATAGGCGCGGGGATGGGCGCAGGGTACATCGGCCGAGCCTGCATTTCCCCGGACCCCGCCCCCGGCGCACCCCCCCCAGCCCCCGCTGGCGACCCCGTTCCGCTCCCCCCGTCCCCCCCGAGCTGCAGCCCCGCGAGCGCCGCGCGCGCCTTGGCCATGCGCGCCTGGAGATCCGACATGAAGTCCTGCTGCTGCTGGTACGTGGCGGCCTGGTTCGACTGCTTCCACGCGTCAAACTCCGCCATGTAATCCGACTGCAGCCGCTGCCCCTCCTGGCTGTTCGCCGCCTGCGACCACGCCAGCGCGGACAGCGCCGCCGCCTGCTGGATATCATTCGGCCCGCCCGGGCTCTTCTGCGCGCCCCCCGCGGAACCTCCGCCTCCGCCCCCGCCGCCCCCCCACTGCCCTTCCGCTCCGCCGTCCATGGAGAAGCGGGTGCCAGAGTGGGCAAGCCCGCCGCTTCCCCCGCCGCCGGGCGCAGGGTTGCCATACACGGGCTGGAGAGTGCCTGATCCCGACGGGCTAGACTCGTCGCTGCCGTACCCTCTCCTGGCCCCTGGCGCATACCCTCCCGCTCCGCGGATGCCCCCCTGCCCCTGCATGCCCATTCCCCCGCCATGCCCCCCGCCCATGTCCCCGTAGCCCCCGCCTCCGCCCCCCCACCCGCCAGGCTGCTGGCCGCCAGAGCCGCGGATAGGATACTGCTGCTGTTGCTGTCCGTACTGCTGCTGCTGCGGGTACTGCCCATACGGCTGCGCCTGCTGCTCCCCGCTCCCGCCGCCGCTGCCGTACGGGGTGTAGCCTCTGGGCGGATAGCCGTTGTCGTATTCCCCGCCTGAGAAGGGACATCGCGGATAGACTCTCATCGCGTCAGACTAGGCGCAAAACGTCAGGCTGCTCAGGAACGCAAAGGCATCAGGCCGTGCGCATTAACAAACAAAACGCATCAAGGCGGCGCGCTCACTCACCCTGCTCGCTGAACGCGCCGCTGTAGGTGGGCTCGAGAGTCCCCGAGCCCGCTCCCCCCGGCGGGCCCGGGCGCGGCATCATGGGGCCGGAGCCCGAGGGACTGCCGGTGGAGGAGGAGACGGGCGAGCCCTCCGACTCCTTGTAGAGAATCACCTTGTCGCGCTGAATCACGTACACCGATATGCCCGGCGGCTTGTAGCGCACGCAGTAGGCGCCCGTGCTCGAGGACTTGCCGCGCCTGGGGGGTTTGTGGTTCGGTCATAAGAAAGATGAGGATTCTCAAAAAACACCTCAGAAGTTTGAATAAACGGCTGCGACAGACTGGGCTTGTAGCGCACGCAGTACGCGCCCGTCCTGGAGGACATGCCGCGCCTGGGGGGATTGAGGTGAGGCGCGCGGAGACGAGGGACGGGTTTACGTGTCAAGAATGCATGTGCAACGGAGAGGCTTGGCATGTGTATAGAGGATGAATGGTGGCCGGATGTTTGAGAGTGCATGCAGTTCCTTAAGACGAGATGCGAGCGCCGAGAGCGAGCGCCAGGTGCTGGTGCGAAAAAAAGGTTGGTAGCTATTTGTAGCTAATTAGCTGACCGCTTGGTCCTTGGTACTGGTGCATTGTGGGTGGCCGTTTAGTATCTGTTTTTAAGTGATTGATTGCCGGGGTACTTACATGCTGAACATGCCTCTGGCGTTGGTTCCGATAACGAGCGACGTCGCTTTAAGCTTCTTCGATTCCTCCACAATGCCCTTTTCCCGCGAATTATTACGACCGACCTTCAGCTCCAGCTTGATCTGGCGCGGACAGCAAGGCAAAGAGGTACACGGGCAATGTTTCCAACGACAGTGTATATCGAGAAAAATGAATTCGAGAAAATCACAAGCGGCAGCATCGTGGGCTGCGCTGCGCGACTCACCTTGGGATCGACGACCTTCTTGAGCGACAGCATCATGGGCTGCACGATGGTGCGCACGTAGTGCACGAACATGGTGTTGTTGACCTCGCTCTGGTACATCTCCGCGCCTGGAACGTGCAATGGGGGCAACAGATAACAATAAAGAAGAGGAGCAGCAATCAATCATGGGGACATTAACAGCCATCATCGAACATCACTGGACATCAATCAGACATCACCAGCCAATCCCGGTGTTAACTAATTAGGTTCAACAGAAAACAGCGTAGAAAACGAGGCGAGAGAGGAGACGCGCGGAAGAAAGGGAGGGCTGTAACAGCGCAGAGTTTAAGGTTTGCGCTCGTTACGCACCTGCTCCACCGCGAGCCCCGCTTCCATACGTTCCCATGCCTGTCAGGACAATGAGGACAATCAAGGCAATCAGGACGGGCAGACAATCACGGAAATCATCGAGCCAGCATTGTTGTTTGAAAAAAAGCATTGTCCGTGACGAAATTGAACCGTTCATTCTTCGGATGGCTTTTGACAAATTGCATTGGCAACGCCCGAAAGAAGATTGCTTTCGCGATGAAAGCACGTGTCCAGGAACAGGGAAAACACCGCCGAATACGACACAGAATAAGAGCACCACTCACTCGGGCTAGGAATCTTAGTGACCACGTGAAGCAGGATAAGGATGTCATCGGGACTCCTTAGCTTATTCGTGATGGCCCACTTAATCGCGTCCTTACACGAGGGGTCTTTGCTCACTCCTACGACTACTCGCTCGCCGCTAAACTCGAACCCATCCCCCGGAGCCATCGCAGGATAAAGCACACGGGCAGAACTACGGTTCTACGTGGAACGACTAGGAGCTCTGCATCTAAAGATGGATATAGATAAGTAATTTAACGATGCTTACGCCAGGAGGCACACTCAGAGGCTAATGTTTGAATAATTTAACTAATTAAGCTATGACTTGAGGTAATGGCACAATAATACCTCGCAAGAAAAAGCAGAAGGACAACCGTAATAATCCGTGAGGCAAGGTACCATCAGCGTACTTATAAAGCAGAAACCTTTGCCTGGTGGTGATCGAAAACCATCAATGGATCATGTCTTCGTGTGTGAGAGAAGCGAGAAAGGGATGATGCTGAAAAGGAAGCGGAGCTCTCAAGGGAAGGTGTTGTGATGAGAAGGAAACGGGGTGCTTGGCGGTGGGATGCGGTTATATGGGATGGGGCCACTTAATGGAGAGATCATTGGGGTTGGCTTCTGCTTCTTTCCGCGACCAGCACTTATTGGTGCTGGATGGCACTTTATCGAGGGATCTCCCCACCAGCCTACCAAGCTACAGGATGCTCCCGCCGTGGGTCATCAGCTTCATTCCGGACCGGATGAGGTTGCAGCCGTGTGATTCGTGGAATCGGATGTTTGACCAGTCAGAGTGTCCGAAGGACAGGTAGGAAATATCTTATTCCAGAGGGGTGGTGGTCGGTAAGCACACGCCTTTTCAAACTGCCCCGCAAAAAATCATGGCCACGTGTTTGACCGAAGTGGCTGCACAACAGAAAACTGTTTCTTTGGATTCCGTTGCATACAATCACCAAATGCTTACCAGCAGAAGCGATGCTATATATTTTCTGGTCTATGCTTCCGTATAGTGAAGCTTCCAAAAAGGAGTGATGCTAACACCGAAGACGATTTGAGCCATACCGAAGTCCCGACGCCCCAGTGTTGACTCTGATATGCTCTGCGAGAATTCACATTGTCCGTTGGATCACGATGATCTCTAGGGCAATGCTGAGGGTGTCAGATCAGAAATTTCATGCACTTCCGCAATCTTCCCCCCAATTGCTCTGACCGCAGCCAATCCGTTGGAGCAGCAGCCCAGCCTTCAACTGCGCCCCGCAAAACCCTCGGATTTGCGCACATTCAGTGGTGTGTCAGGCTTTTGGGGGAAGCGTATCCACAAGCCCGCAAAATCCCCAGCCGGGAACGGCGATATTCGCGAATTTTTAAGTATATCGTCCCGTAGAAATACTGCTTCGTTCTCATAAGCGAAACGACCAACACGTCGCCAATGCTATTTCGCATGAGGGACCTGGATGTCGTCAGTGGACCGTTTGTCTGAAATCATGCGCGCTCGCGGAAAAGCGCGGGTACGAATCTTGTCGGCGGTGCTTCCTCCTCCGCCGCTTGGCCCACCTTGGGATTGGTCGGGATAACTCTGGCCCGTGCTGAACGCTTCCAACAGCGACCCTGTGGAAACTGGGAGGTACCAGACAGAGAACATAGCCAAAGCCATTCTGCAACCATCTCAACCGCACTTAACATAGTTAACGAGCATGTCGATCGATTGCAATTTGCAGTGCAGGAGAGTCCCCTTGCAACCCAGCAGGCGCAACTCGTTCTGCACAACCATTTGCATTGCTGCAACCATTCCCCAATGCTTCCCTTTGTGCACAATCTCCTCTGTTCTCCATTTCTTCCAACTCGAACATCTCTGCCTGCGCTTCCTTTCAGTCTGGCCTTTACCTCTCCACTTGGTTATGACATGTACTTCTGACTCGCCACTATCCATCACGACGGCGTTCGCTCCTTGCGGCTGCTAGTTTCGTCCTCGCTGGCGATTAGCTTCCTCGCGGCAGTTTTCTCTCCCTCGCGGCGATTTGTTTTTCCTGTCGATAGCTGGTGATTGCTCGGTAACTGCGTTTCCCACGGTAGCGTTTCCGGCGGGGATGAGTTCTCTCCGTGCTGTCGAGACGGCGAAGAAGTGATGATTCTTGGAAAGTTAGTCCGACAAGGTTAGTCTTCCAATTCGCTGATATCTCTTCGCCTGCTCGGTTTTGTATGATTTTCGTTTCGTCAAGTTCACGATTCGCGATCGCACGCGTCAGATTCTCCGTTCCTGATTTGCATGTGTTGTCTCCGCCCATGCCAGATGCGCCTGCGCAACCAAACGCGTGCCGTCGAGGCGACGCAGTTCCTCATCCCTATGCGACGGACGTTGATCCTTGCCTCGTCCGTCCGGCGATCACTCTTCGCGCACGTCCTAACGATCTCCGCGAATGCTTCGGTACGATTTACGTTATGTGAGACGTTTCTAGACCGCTTTACCTGTTGCTCCGCTGGCTTCCCGTAATCGTTTCTCGCATCCATACGACTCGTCACACTTCCTTTGCTGCGTGGCGCTGAGCTGCATTCGTTGCACCGCGACCTGAGCCTCTTTTTTTTTTTTCACACTCGAAACCGTCACTCCCCGTTATTCTTCGTTTTCCACTTCCAGGGATGCGACTGTCGACGCTATCAGGGCAGCGTGCATCGAAATTGGACAACGAGTCCGTCATCCGCGCTTCATCGCACGGCGGAATCGTCGTCCACGCTTCGTCGCACGGCGGAATCGTCGTCTGCTGCGCGTCGTCGCACGGAGAAATCTCTGTCTGCGCGTCGTCGCGTGGCAAAATCGTCGTCCGCGCTTCGTCGCACGGCGGAATCGTCGTCTGCGCGTCGTCGCACGGAGAAATCTCTGTCCGCGCGTCGTCGCGTGGCGAAATCGTCGTCCGCGCTTCCTCGCACGGCGGAATCGTCGTCCGCGCTTCGTCGCACGGCGGAATCGTCGTCTGCGCGTCGTCGCACGGAGAAATCTCTGTCCGCGCGTCGTCGCGTGGTGAAATCGTCGTCCGCGCTTCGTCGCACGGCGGAATCGTCGTCCGCGCGTCGTCGCACGGAGAAATCTCTGTCCGCGCGTCGTCGTGTGGCGAAATCGTCGGCCGCGCTTCCTCGCACGGCGGAATCGTCGTCTGCGCGTCGTCGCACGGAGAAATCTCTGTCCGCGCGTCGTCGCGTGGTGAAATCGTCGTCCGCGCTTCGTCGCACGGCGGAATCGTCGTCCGCGCTTCGTCGCACGGCGGAATCGTCGTCCGCGCGTCGTCGCACGGAGAAATCTCTGTCCGCGCGTCGTCGTGTGGCGAAATCGTCGGCCGCGCTTCGTCGCACGGCGGAATCGTCGTCTGCGCGTCGTCGCACGGAGAAATCTCTGTCCGCGCGTCGTCGCATGGCGAAATCGTCGTCCGCGCGTCGTCGCACGGAGATATCTCTGTTCGCGCGTCGTCGCGTGGCAAAATCGTCGTCCGCGCTTCGTAACATGGCGAAGTTGTTGGGAGTGGCAGTGGTGGGGGACATGGAGTGCAAAGGCATCAGCTGCTCTCCACCCAACCCACCCAAAGCTAAGTACCCCGCCCTGCCCCACTTTCCGCAACCCTCTCTCTCCTGTCATCATGTGATTCGTTCAATTGTTTTCCACGTTGGTGCATCTCCTCCTTCATTTGTCTTGTCTCCTCCTCCTCCTTGGTTTTGACTCCTCTCCCCTGGTGTCTCCTTCTCCTCCTTGGTTTTCACTCCTCTCCCCTGGTGTCTCCTCCTCCTCCTTGGTTTTGACTCCTCTCCCCTGGTGTCTCCTCCTCCTCCTTGGTTTTGACTCCTCTCCCCTGGTGTCTCCTCCTCCTCCTTGGTTTTGACTCCTCTCCCCTGGTGTCACCTCCTCCTCCTTGGTTTTGACTCCTCTCCCCTGGTGTCTCCTCCTCCTCCTTGGTTTTCACTCCTCTCCCCTGGTGTCGCCTCCTCCTCCTTGGTTTTCACTCCTCTCCCCTGGTGTCTCCTCCTCCTCCTTGGTTTTGACTCCTCTCCCCTGGTGTCGCCTCCTCCTCCTTGGTTTTCACTCCTCTCCCCTGGTGTCTCCTCCTCCTCCTCCTTGGTTTTGACTCCTCTCCCCTGGTGTCTCCTCCTCCTCCTTGGTTTTCACTCCTCTCCCCTGGTGTCTCCTCCTCCTCCTTGGTTTTCACTCCTCTCCCCTGGTGTCTCCTCCTCCTCCTTGGTTTTCACTCCTCTCCCCTGGTGTCTCCTCCTCCTCCTTGGTTTTGACTCCTCTCCCCTGGTGTCTCCTCCTCCTTGGTTTTCACTCCTCTCCCCTGGTGTCTCCTCCTCCTTGGTTTTCACTCCTCTCCCCTGGTGTCTCCTCCTCCTCCTTGGTTTTCACTCCTCTCCCCTGGTGTCTCCTCCTCCTCCTTGGTTTTCACTCCTCTCCCCTGGTGTCTCCTCCTCCTCCTTGGTTTTCACTCCTCTCCCCTGGTGTCGCCTCCTCCTCCTTGGTTTTCACTCCTCTCCCCTGGTGTCTCCTCCTCCTCCTTGGTTTTCACTCCTCTCCCCTGGTGTCTCCTCCTCCTCCTTGGTTTTCACTCCTCTCCCCTGGTGTCTCCTCCTCCTCCTTGGTTTTCACTCCTCTCCCCTGGTGTCTCCTCCTCCTCCTTGGTTTTCACTCCTCTCCCCTGGTGTCGCCTCCTCCTCCTTGGTTTTCACTCCTCTCCCCTGGTGTCTCCTCCTCCTCCTTGGTTTTGACTCCTCTCCCCTGGTGTCTCCTCCTCCTCCTTGGTTTTCACTCCTCTCCCCTGGTGTCTCCTCCTCCTCCTTGGTTTTCACTCCTCTCCCCTGGTGTCGCCTCCT